TATCCGAGTTATCGGATCCCAAGTTCTTACTTTTGAAGAATTCTATACCTTTCTAGTACAAGTTGAGGCTATTTTAAATTCTCGACCGCTCTATCCATTAAGCTCTGACCCCTCAGATTTGTCAGTGTTAACCCCCGAACATTTCCTAACCCTTGAACCTCTTACTTCTGTCCCGAGTCCTGACCTCTCTCAAGTGAATATCAACCGCCTGGACCGCTGGCAGTTGTTGCAGCGGTTGCAGCAGGATCTTTGGAAACGGTGGCACGCAGAATATCTGCATACTCTTCAGCAGCGCCATAAATGGCTTAATAAGGGAGTTGATGTAAGAGTAGACGATCTTGTTTTAATTAAAGAGGATAATACTCCTTCTCTCCGATGGAGACGAGGGCGCATTATTAGAATTCATCCCGGTTCTGATGGAATATTATACTTTGCCAAGACGGTATTGCCCTAATGAGTAAACGGCCATATCCGCGGTGGCGAAGAACGAGTAAAAATTCGACCGACCGGGCAGAAATCAGTATCGCCTCGAGTGTCGTAAAATACAGATCAGATGAAGATTGCGATTATTAGATACAAAACCGGTAATTCTACATTCCCGTCAAATACCAGCCCCTAATATACAGTCCACGACGCTTTGTCGATATTTCTCGTACATCGAGCGCCCGACGCTTTTTTCACAATAATACTAGTATTTTCCATTTATTATTGTTTTAAGCTTATTTGAAAAATTATTTTTAACTTTTTAGTTTTATATGCTCTAAAAGCGTGTTTTTTAGTTTTTTAAACTATATTTATTTAATAACTTATTTCTGTTGGACAAATGAAAATAAGGCCTGGACCAATGATTGCAATAGTTAGTTTTAATAAATTGTCATTAAAAGTAATTAATAATTGTTCTTATTTTGAGTATTTTATTTGTTTAACTTATTTCTGTTGGATGGACAAACGAAAATAATGTGTGGACAAACAATTGCCATATTTAATTCGTCCCTAAAGACAATGTGAATTTTTTAAAATTTTTAAATGCCTATAGGGACCGTGCGTGAAATATAGAGGCAGCACTACTGCCGAACTTAGCCCTCTCTAGTGTTTAATTTTAGAATTAAATAGGGTAAACATTGCAAGTAAATAATAAAGGGTATTTTTTTAAATATTAAATATAGTTAAAAATAGATACCGGCCCGTACCAAACAATAGTGTACATGGTCAAAATGACGTAAAATGTGAAACATTATTAAAATCGGAACATGCATATACATTTTAAGCAAAAAGATTTAAATGGCTAAGTGACAATAAATTGTAAAGTTGTACCTTAAACAAGTGTATCCAATGTTAAAATATCGGTATTTAGTAACACTGAATTTAAAAGTATTACAATAACATTTAAAAAATGTAAATTAATAAAAAAGATTGATAATAATAATTATAAATCTTTTTAGCTTTATGTTAATCGAAATGTCATTCATCCACTGACGTTTATGAGATGTTCAATGATACATATTATAGATTGCTTACCCATCTATAAAAAAATTATGAAAAGCGGGTTGCAATGTGCCTTTCCTACTCACTAAATAGAGCCGTTCTAGCCCAAATGTGTTTTAAAATAAAATTTCAGCATTTTAATCTTTAGAAAAAGAAAATAATTAAAGTTTTACTTCAAGACATGTCATTATGTATTTGGAAAGTTGAGTTTTCATGCAGTTAAATAATATTAAGAGATCTAAACAATTTTTATAACAGATGGATATAAATAATTTTAGACTACTATTTCAGAAACAATTCTACATAAAATACATAATTGCAATATGTAAAACAATTTTGAAAAGGTAATGTAAACAATTTTGATATGAGGTATAAACAACTTTGGTAAGAGTTGTAATTGGACACTTATCTATTATTCTGAATAATGTTTAATGGTAATGTCACTAAAAAAATTTACAAAAATCACTGGATTTTTAATGTTTTAAAGTTTGTTACAATCTCTTTTGACAGTAATTGCAATGTATTATTTATGATTTGTTTATTTTAATAATAAATGAGAAATAGTTAATAAATTGTAAAGAGGGCCGTGATATTTTTGTCAAATTGGGCATTCTTATTTCATATTCTACATTAGTTTTAATCAACAGAATAAACCATTATCTGTAAAATTATATTTATATAAAATGTTCATTTAAATATGTAAAAATTTTAATGACAAGAAAACACTAAAGATTCTAATTTCTAAACCGGTTCTGTAAATGATTTCTTTACAACTAAGTGCTCAAAATTGATACAAGCTAGATAAAAAGAAAACTTTGCCCAGTGAAATACGCTTTTCGTCGTCTGATTTACATATGGATAAGCAATCTTTGTAATTATGTATATCATTGGGTGTGAGGCATAATTGTGCTCTGTGGAAATTTATAAAATTTCTTTACTATCGAATGAAATCCAGGTTTCCAAAGTGATGTGTTTGTACATCCACGGATGCAACAAGTTTTTTCGATATTGATATTACGAAAATAATTCGACTTCATTTTATTAATAATTATTAAACAATAAATGCCGTATAAAACATTAATAAATACCCCCCATAAAGTTCACAGTTTTGTCACCAGTTAGCGTTAAAGTCATGACGCACGGTCCCTATAACCTAGGGAAGAAACAGGGTGTACGAGTGAGACAACAGTTTGAAATAATCTAGTATGTCCCGTATGTAAAGTTGTTGATTGAAGTCTAATACGGTACAGGTCATATATGCCCGTACTAAATTATTATTTAATTGGATGGTACAATTATTAATGATAGTTCATTATGTACAAGTTTCTAAAAAATATTAAAAAATAAGAAAAACATCTCGTATCTGGAGTTAAACTTTAATTTTTGGCGTTTCCAGGAGAAATCCTATATGGGACATATTTGTTCCGTACCGTTGGGAACGTGTTAACCAAAGATTTTTTTTCACTCAATGTTAACCCTCGGTCACCCGCGTTCAATTTCGAAACAAGAGTACCCGCGTGGTGTCTGTAAGACGCCATTTAATTTAAGTCATAAAAATGGAATGAAAATATATGCTGAAGGTTTTATTTAAATAATTTACATATTACTCATATATATTTTTATGTTTTACCCTAATTTCACAAACAAAAAGTCTTTCTTACCAACAGTAAAATAAAATGTGTAATAAATATAACACCATTTACATGTTTAAACATAAGAACAAAATAAATAAAATTCAAATGATGTCTGTGTGTGTGTGTGTGTGTGTGTGTTTGTGTGTGCGTGCGTGCGTGCGTGCGTGGGTGCGTGCGTGCGTGCGTGGGTGCGTGCGTGGGTGCGTGCGTGGGTGCGTGCGTGCGTGGGTGCGTGCGTGGGTGCGTGCGTGGGTGCGTGCGTGCGTGGGTGCGTGCGTGCGTGCGTGCGTGCGTGCGTGCGTGCGTGCGTGCGTGCGTGCGTGCGTGCGTGCGTGCGTGCGTGCGTGCGTGCGTGCGTGCGTGCGTGCGTGCGTGCGTGCGTGCGTGCGTGTGCGTGTGCGTGTGCGTGTGCGTGTGCGTGTGCGTGTGCGTGTGCGTGTGCGTGTGCGTGTGGGTGTGTGTGTGGTGTGTGTGTGTGTGTGTGTGTGTGTGTGTGTGTGTGTGTGTGTGTGTGTGTGTGTGTGTGTGTGTGTGTGTCGAATAACTCATGAACCGATACACAGAAAAACACCAAATTTTAAACTTAAGCTTTATTCCATCGTCCAATGAACTGATTAGTTTTTAGGCAGAGTCGGAATATCTGGGGGGGTACTTTATAGGCGGTTATTTTTATATTTTATGGAATATATCTGTTATTTATGTTTGTAGAAGAAAATTCTTCAAATAAAAGTTACTTCTAATATAATTATCTATAATTTTTGTTTTATACAAAATTTTCCTAAAATGGTCCGTATTCGAAAAATTTGACAAAATGTATAAAATATATTTTTTATGAAAATTGTTCAAATAAAAGTTGTTTGTAATATAATTCTCTATAATTGTTATTCCATACATAATATCTCTAAAATGGACCGTATTCGAGATATTTGAGAAAATGTGTAAATTTCGAATTTTGAAGAAAACTCAAAAACGGATAAAGAAAAAAACATTAAATTTTAAACTTAAGGTTTATTTCGGCCTGACGTGAAATAATTAGATTTTGGACAAAGTCGGAACATCTAGGGGGTACTTTATAGGAGGCCGTTTTTATATTTTATGGAATATATCTGTTATTTATGTTTGGAAAAGAAAATTGTTCAAATAAAAGTTACTTCTAATATTATTATCTATAATTTTTGTTTTATGTCAAAATTTCCTGAAATGGTCCGTATTCGAAAAATTTGACAAAATGTGCAAAATTCTAATTTTTATGAAAATTGTTGAACTAAAAGTTGTTTGCGATATCGATCTCTATAATTTTTGTTTATACATGATTTTTCTAAAATGGACCGTAATGGAAAAGGGCTAAATTTAAATTTTTCAGTATTTTCGTTTTCAATGAATATCTATAGAAAAATGTTTCGCGGTAGATGTATGTGGACAATGTATGTATTTAATTTATCCTCTAAACATTTATAGAGGTGCTGCAATGGATTGTACAAAATAACCGGAAAAAGCCTATAATAACTAGATAGGAAAGTCATGTGTTGGACATATCAGATTTTTTATATAAGTTTCACTGTTTTTTGGCTAGTATTTGTACAATTTTCAACACAGCGGTTGCTTATTGTATTGTTTTTACCTAGTTTTTTGAAAAAAAGTAAAATGTATAGGTGTATTTGATATGCCAAAATTACAAAATATCGCCCTAAAATGCACGAATTATCCGCAGCTAGCGCTAGTATCGCTTTTGGTTCTCTTTCCATGAATTCGCACGGAGCGAATACGACTGTTGCCAATAATTAAATTCTATCCGCAATAAAGTTTTTTTTTTATTTTTTATCGTAATTCTTTGGCTTTGGAATAATGTATATGTCTTTACAGATAACTGTTTGTTTTTAGGAAGAGATAAAAGAAAAGAAAAAATTAATGGACCTGCTTTTCAGATACGAAACATTCAATGTTTTAGTAAAATACAACGTTGAATCAGATATGCAGTCTTGGATCAGATTCGCAGTATGCGATTTATTAGAAGAAGTTAAAGATTGCTTAGGAAATGTATGTATCTAAAATAATTATATATTTTTGTTAATTGATATAAAAATATGTATAATTTTTAGTTTCAAATCGAAGATGCAATTCTAATTTATAGCAGAATGGATGAAGAAACTGTGAAATCGTTAAATGAAAAATTTGTCAACGATGTATTGGACATTTTTAAAAATGTAAGTTCATTGAATCAAAAATTATTTCATCAAACTTTATCTGCAGTTTTTGATCTATTTGTTTTACCGCTTGGAACAACTTTAGAGTTGCGAAATACAAATCTTTAATTAACTACACAAAGACAATCTAGTGAGACGTGTAACACAGTTTATTTTTTTTTTGTTCTGCCAAATTTGTTTGGGCGATTATATTTAAAACTACTACCCCACAATTCACGTATCTTCTAGACGCCATACGCCAATGTTATACTTTTAAACCAAATTAGCGCCACCTTTTGTTTGTAGCAGGAACTAAAATGACAATTGACAGATAGCGGTAAATTCAAATTGTAATTTTTAGTAGTAGGTAGTAGTTCTATATTAAATTTTAAATGATTTCCACATAAATTATTTTATAAAATAAAGTATGGAACTAGTAAGTGAGGAATTAATTTGTTATAAGGGGTCTGATATGTAGAGTTGGTTCTGCATATTATTATTAAATAAATATAAGATATATCAATAAATAATAAAATAGAACATTCTTAAAATATGTTTACTAATAACTTAAATAAATATTAGTAGATAAAAATAAATACAAATAATAATACATATTTTTTAATGAATACTTACTTGGAACAAATAGGTATACAATCTCACATCTTTATATTTAAATGTGAAATAGAGACTAGCACATTACATTTTATTAACAACACTAAAGTTATATATTTTATAAATGTCTTTTTAACCGATTGAAAAGTGAATCCTTTTAACTATTCATTGAGTGATAAATAATGTCCTTTGAAATACAGATGGTATACTCTCTTATGTGAAAAATGATTTCGGAATCTAGTCCAGTGATAAATTGATTATCAATTAGTTGTTGTACCCGTTTGTCTTTTTATGATGCATGGTGAATCAATAAAGTTTTTCTTCAAGTTTTCAACGTAGCACCAAAATTATTACAAAACACAGAAAATAGAAAAACAAAACATCACAATTTTGGGTGGCTCAGTGGTAGAGTCACTGCTTGCTGTTCCAAGGGTCCCAGGTTCTAATCCCACCGTTGGCCGAAATTTTTTCATTTAATTTAATTATTTAAAATTAATTCTGATGCCTTGGTAGGATTCCCCACTCGACCATTCACTGTTGGGTTCTAATTAACAGTCCTGTTCCTAAAGTGGCGTTGGGAAACATGAACAAAGCCTACATAAAACATTAGGCGAAATAACCTTAGCAGTTGAAGCTGATGACACAAAAAAAAACTAAGAAGAAACTATAAACAGAAACCAAAAGCCAAAGCTAACAAAAAATCACTAAAATCAAACGAAAAACTAAGAATAACCAAAAACATAAATACATGTCATATCTTTGGATTCTTCGGTTAAGTTTGGTTAAGTTTTTCACCCATAAAAAATAAAAATGGAGGAAGAAATCATAATTTCACCAGTAGCCCCATCCAGAGTTTGGAGTCAATAGCATAAGAAATGTCATTTGTCAATTTTGACCTTGGTCATTCATGTGGTACCTCTATGTGCTTTGAGACTACCACTAGTCTTTTTTCAATGCCACTTTTATGTGTATCCAAAATTTAAAAAGTCTTCTAAATTTTGATAAAATATAAAAAAAAATCACGACACAAAATTCTAGTGATCACTAATATTTAAACTTGGAAAAATAAAATAAATTGCAATTTTTTTGAGTTACATAAAAATAAACTACAATAATAATAATGAACAATAATTATTGATGGTAAAAGTTTTTAATTTTGTTAATATTTTTGTTTATCTTTCATGACCCCTTACTTGTTTCTTACACCACCAAGGTACGCCTTTTTTCAATAGATTGCCTTATAATGTTTGCATGAATATCACATTTTAACCATGAAAAATATATTTTTGGATTTAATTATTTTTCAATATCTTTTGAAATATGTATCAATTAAATACAATGAAATCTAATAGTGTAACCCCCACGCCCCTTTCATTTTTGTTTAAATGTGAAATTTTTATTATTTACCTCTTAATTTTGTTTCATTTTAAATTCTATACTTACTGTATTTGGCCTTTTGATCGTTTAGTCCCGCTCAAACGCGGACCATGTTCATTTGCTATCTAGATATATTTTATTTAGCTTGATGATCAATGAAGTTAACGAACAGCGCCAATTCGCCAGTTGGTTAACTGACTGTGTTGATGTTCACATATAATTTATGGTGCAAATCTAGTAGAATGGATGGCTAGTGTAGGTGCCCTCGTTGAGCTAACGAACAGTGTCAATTCAACAGTTGGTTAACTTACTATTAAATTTTACCATCTAGATTTGCATAATTTATCCAAGATAACACATCTCTGTATATTTTTAAAATATTGATATTTTTAATTTCTATTGAAATTCACTTAAGATTTTGAGATACAAAGTTGATATTTTGTAGATCAGTTAACCAACTGTCAAAAACTTTATTCAAGCCACCACTTGGAAATAAGTGGCGCAGTATAGGGATCCACCCTCGTATAATAAAGCCTGTAATAAAAGCACCTGACATAGTTGGTACTCACACAGTACAGGATCAAGACAAATTAGCGAGTGACAAAATATTTCAGTATTATAATTAAAATAAAAGCAACATCGCGGGTTGTTATTTATAGCTCCATGTTGTACAGGTTTGATAAATTAGTCGTTTATTAATTTTAATTAGAATGTTGGAATATTTTGTCCTGCGCTATTTTTTACTGCGTAATTTTGTCCTGCGCTATTTTGTTCTTGCGCTATTTTGTCTTGCACTATTTTGTCCTGCGCTGTTTGGTCATTTTACCAAGAAAGTTATATCCTTTTGAAGTTACAAATTGAAATAGCGCCGAATCAAAAAAGAGCGAGAAAAACAACTAATTTACCTAATCTAGGCGGCCTGGAGCCATCGTGGGTTAGTGTTTATGATTCCATGTTATACAGGTTAGATAAGTTAGTTAAGTTTTTTTTTTTATTTTAATTAGAATATTGCAATATTTTGTCACGAGCTATTTTGTCCTCGCGCTATTTTGTCATCACGCTATTTTGTCATCACGCTATTTATTTTTTCCCCGATTTATTTTGTCTTTGCGCTATTTTGTCTGCAACTACGTTCTCCGGCGTGTTATTTTTTCCTTACGGTATTTTGTCCTTGTGCTATTTTGTCTTGCGCTATTTTGTCTGCATTATTTTCTCCTGCGTTATGTTGTCCTGCGCTGTTTTGTCAATTAGCCAAAAAAGTTGTTTCCTTTTCAAATTACAAATTGAAATAGCGCTTAATCAAAAAAAGAACAAGACCAATTAGCGAGTGACAAAATATTCCAGTATTATAATTAAAATAAGAACAACACAACTAATTTATCGAATCTAGGCGGCTTGGAGACATCGCGGGTTGCTGTTTATGGCTCCATGTTTTACAGATTAAATAAATTAGTTTTTTTTATTATTTTCATTAGAATATTGCAGTATTTTGTCACGCGCTATTTTGACTTTGCGCCATTTTGTCCCTGATATATTTTGTCTGCGCTATTTTGTCTGCAACTCCTTTGTCCTGCGCTGTTTTGTCAATTTGCCAAAAAGTTATATCCTTTTAAAATTACAAATTGAAATAGCGATTAGTCAAAAAAAGAGCGAGACAAATTAGCGAGTGACAAAATATAGGTACCAGTATTTATAATTAAAATAAAAACTAATTTATCTAACCTATGCGGCCTCGAGCCATCTCAGGTTGCTACTTATGGCTCCAGGTCGTACAGCTTAGGTAAATTAGTTAATTTTTTTTTATTTAAATTAGAATATTGGAATATTTTGTCCTGCACTATTTTTTCCTTGCGCTATTTTGTCTGCATTATTTTCTCCTGCATAATTTTGTCCTGTGCTGTTTTATCATAAACCCAAGAAAGTTATTTTCATCTGAAGTTATAAATTGAAAATTGAATTTTTTTAATAACTCTGAAACTGTCATGAAAATAGGCATGTGGTTGTGATCCCAGAGACCCCCAAACTTTTGCATACTGCCCTGATTAGACTTTAACATCTGATTTGATAATTTTTGTATACATAAAGTAATATTGCTTGTTAAAGATACGAATTTATAGTGATTAAGCTCAATTTTATTTACTTCTAATTTTACAATGTTGTGTAAAGTATGAAGATGAAATTACTTATGCTCAGAAATTAATTATCAGTTCTATTTCCTTTCGACTTTTTGTAAGAGATCTGAATTTGAACAAGGGCTTTTTCAGTTAAGAAACAAAATTAAAATTACTAGAAAGATCATTCTTTTCAGATACTTATCTTAATGTGTACACACATTTTATTTTCAGCCTCCCCAAGACCTCTACCAATCGTTTTTACCCACCTTTTTTCCAATAACCATGACCCACCTTCCCTCTGCAATGTCTCTTTTCCTAACCTGGTTACAAGACGAAATTCTTCACATGGAAAAACGGGATGCTACTAATTTTCCCGAAAACGGTGTAAAAATGGTAGAAGACGTTCTCGAACTTATCAGAGTCGAAAAACACGGCGTACTGTTGCGTCAATGTATGCTCAATCGTAAGAGCCTCGAAAATCTATCGAATCTATTGAAAGGTTTAAAGACTCTGCAGAAGCTGAAGGAAATGTATGCGATCAAAGTTGAATTGAGCGAATACTTAGAGGTAAATTAATCAAATCTTCTTACTGTTCGTTAACCTTAATTGCTCATAAACATGTTCTTCATTCTTTAGGGTCCAAAAAAATTTGTAAGCACACTTTTGCGAGTATCCATGCCTCCGGAACTCTACAATGGATTTTTGAAAAACTTCCTACAAATCTATATGCTCCAGAACGACATTAATCATAATACGATATTCGCTGAAGAAATTAACAATCTGTTAAAATGTAACGGCGACTGGTTGTCTACCATAGAAATTATCTTCGATAACATTAGTTCCTTGGATATCAAACTTCAGATTACGCAAAAATTACTTTTAAATTCTCCCGTACCCTGGGGTGCTATTTTCAAAGTCGAGAGAATTCATTTCTCTCGAGAGAAATGTCATACGTCAACGTAAAACAGTATTTTTAGGGTCCTAAGGGCCAGTGTAAACTCAGTGATTGTTTCTCACGGTTTATTTAGAGATAATTAATATCCTCCTAAGAATTTTAATCCTCGAGGCCTTTAAAAACAGCGTTTCCACATTGACGTATGACATTTCTGATGAGAATCTTGAGAGAAATGAGTACTCACACGGTTTGAAAATAGGTCCCCTGGTGTGACGCTGTAAAAAGGATGGCTGATCGATCGTTGCAGTTTTCACATCCCATGGTCGAAACGATATCGAAAATGTTGAGCAACGAAGGTCGATATAAAGTAATTCAAAATCGCGAATATTTGATAAACGAGAGGAAACTTGACGAACAGGTAAAACTTTTTATTATACATATTTTTCAATTGTGATTATAGAACGTTTATTTTAGTTTTGTAGGGTCGTAAACCGTATTGTATACGTTGACGAGCCACAAATGGTTGATGATATATTTCACCTGTGTAGTATTGATGATCAGTATTTGAATGCCACTGTCATCTTAGTAAATCATTTTATATTAAAAGAGTAAGTATTATTTTTGTTTTTAAATATTTTATCAGCTTGGCTTTGTCAAATCTAGAAGTACAGGCACAAACTTTGCATGTTTCGTCCTCCTTTTATTACTAAATTGAATTTTAATTACGAAAATTTAGTATAAGGGCGCCGATATGAGTTGTAAACTTTTGAAGATTAAATCCGGTACAGGTGAACTGTAGTAACCTTGTGAAAGGAACTATGGTACTATCGATTTTTTTTGTTCTCTATGAAGTTAGAAACATGAAAATTGGAATTGCAGCTACTGACTAAAAATCAAAAATGATGTGTTTCATGGTTTTTGGATTTTCACATTTTAAGGGGGGAATACGGGGGTGAAAATTAATAAAACTAATAAAAATTAATAAAAATTAATAAAAATTAATAAAAATTAATAAAAATTAATAAAAATTAATAAAAATTAATAAAAATTAATAAAAATTAATAAAAATTATTAAAAATTAATAAAAATTAAATTAATAAAAATTAATAAAAATTATTAAAAATTAATAAAAATTAATAAAAATTAATAAAAATTAATAAAAATTAATAAAAATTAATAAAAATTAATAAAAATTAATAAAATTTAATAAAAATTAATAAAAATTATTAAAAATTAATAAAAATTATTAAAAATTAATAAAAATTAATAAAAATTAATAAAAATTAATAAAAATTAATAAAAATTAATAAAAATTAAATTAATAAAAATTAATAAAAATTAATAAAAATTAATAAAAATTAATAAAAATTAATAAAAATTAATAAAAATTAATAAAAATTAATAAAAATTAATTAATAAAAATAAATAAATAAATAAAAATTAATAAAAAATAATAAAAATTAATAAAAAAATTTAAAAATTAATAAAATTTAATAAAAATTAATAATCATCAAACATTTTAGTAACAATATTATTATTAAATTATTTTATATTTTTTTATATAATAATGGAACATAATATTATTACAGAGATTTAGATCAGGCCATAGCCGTGTTGGATAGAAATAAACCAGAAATTTTGTACCGATGTGGAAGAAATCTCTTTGATTATGCTGAAAATATTATCAAAGCAAGGGTAAGTATTTTTTACAATTTGATAGATATTAATAATAATAATTTAATATTTAATTTACATATTTATTTTATATCACAATTTATTTGTACTAAATACATTATATTATCTTATTAATACACTAAATTTATAGACAATATTTATCTGAACTTAAACCAATTTTTACCGGTAAACAGCCTACTTATATACAAATGTTACTCTCCAGACTTATTCTCTTAAATTCTAGACGTCATTCCACTAAGAATCGATATAGGTGCATCCGGTATGCGCTAGTTCGGTGTGATGTCATTTTGGTTCCACTGACATTTAATTCTAACCAAACTTTTAACAAAAACATCAATAAATTTGACATATACATTTTACTGTTTTTAGTTTATTTTTAATTATTGTTTAAAAGTCATAAAAAATAGTTTAAAGGTATATAATTTGTAACTAAACGATTGTATATTTGATGCATGTTATTTACTTACTTTAGGAATATATTTATAAAAGTGAAAAAACGATATAATTTAGGTAAACAAAACGAACAAAACGCACTCAAAAAAGCTACTATCAGTTTAATTGTCAGTGGAACCATAATTACATCATCACTGAACTAGCGCATTTCACTAGTAAACTGGACGGTTTTATAGACTAGCGAATACGAACATAGGCGTATCATTGGGGTTTTAGAAGTTGACTTATTTCATCAAATATTCTTGGTAACGGGAAAAAAAAGAGACCGTAAAAGGTCTAATTAAGGCAAGGAGGGACTTAAGGGATTAAGTCAAGGCCGGAGAATAATAATAACATTATTAATAATATTTTGGGTTCCCTATGGGGTTTTTTTTTTCATTATAGTTGTGGTGTCATTGGGGCGGAAATTTTCAGCTCCAGACTTTGTTGTCAATCCATGCATAATATGTAGCTTTTTTGCACTCTGCTAGGGCAATCGGAACAAGTGCGAGTATATTTATCATATATATAAAAAAATATTTTTTTAATAACAATATTTCTTTAATATGAATTGAACTTTGAGCCTTTGAATATAGTTTGATATATTTTCGCTATTATTTCAAATTCCTCCTTCTGTATTGCAGGACATTTTCTCCTCTTTCACGTCTTCTATTTAGATTTTTTATATTTTTCGTACTTTTTGTTTGTTGAACCAATTTTTGAGGTAATATTCAAAATTTTTACTCAATTTTAATTTGTTCCCTAAGTCAAAGTAATTGTTTTATCTACTCCAAATGAACATGTTTTATTGATTTAAACCCTTCTGTAGGGGTCACCAAAATTAGATATTTCAACAACTGTGGTCTTGATGATTGTTTTTCCAGACACAGCAACGCTTTTCTTTAATGGAACAGATTCTACTTACAGAGAATTTGAAATAAATAACATTTGAGTCGGGTTGAAGATGTGAAATAATTTTATTATCATTTATTTTAGTATCATAAAGCTTCGACGAAAGAAAAGTACTACAACTTTTTACCGATTTTAATCAAAAAGCTTAAAAACGGCGGCTATAAGGAATTGGAAATGCATCATGTCAAAGAACGTTTTAGAATAATGCAAGGCCAATATTTCTTCAAACAACATTTTGGTATCGATTTTACCGATGCTCAATTTAAATCTCCCATGGAAATTATACAAAGCATCGACTTGGGTAAGGCAATTAATAATACTGTTAATAAATTATTATGAACAAAGTTTTAGAATACATATAACCAAACTTATATGAAATCGCAACAGTATTTTTATTAAAACTACCAGTTAGAATTGTACAGGGAGACTGATTTCTTTTTCAATATTAGAAAAAAGATACACACGACATAAGTTGTAAGGTAACGTCTAAATGTCACCACCAGTACCGTTGTTAAGTTTTGGTATATATTTTAACAATTTTACAGAAAAAAGGTATTCATGATAAAAATATTGTTGGATATCATGCTTAAGGACGAAGTACCACTGTGTATAAAGACCAAAAGTTAAATTGATTGATTTCCGAATATATCTAATTTTAAGATTTAGGTCCAACGTAGGTCGTCTTACTATTAAAAACTGATAAATTTATTATTTTCCATGAAAAACAAATCATTTAAAGACTTCAATTCGAAGACAAGCATTAAATGAATATAAAAAACAATCAAATTATGTAAATTATCTGCATTACCAAAGTATAGCGGCAAAAACGAAACGGCTATTTAAACAAAAACGAAAATCCAGTTGGATTTCGTTTATAAACAAAATAAATAAAAGCACACCAATATCAGATATATGGCGATTTATGAAGTCAATAAATAAAAAATCTCATACGTCCAAAAAAACTCAAATCCCAAATGAATTAATAAAAAAACTATTCGATATTTTAGCCCCTCCATCTGTCCCTGGTAACCTCTTTGGTCCTCAATTTATATTTCACTCTGAGTCAGATTATTTGTTGAAATCTTTTAGCTACTCTGAATTGGATTTGATTTTGAAAAACACACGAAATACAGCACCTGGGCTAGACGGGTTTACCTATAAAATTATATATAATTTACCACCCATAGCTAAACTCGCACTCTTAACAATCTTTAACAATTGGTGGATGAAACAAGAATACACAGAAAAATTTAAAGATATTATAATCTGTCCCATACTAAAACCGCAGAAAAATCCTGATTTACCTTCATCATACCGTCCTATAGCATTAATATCGTGCATAACAAAAACATTTGAACGCTTAATCAAGTTAAGATTAGAACATTTCTTAGAGAGCAAATTATTGCTACCGACCTTTCAATATGGCTTTCGAAGAGGGAAAGGAACACTAGATGCAGTCTCTCATTTAGTGACAGATACACAAAGGTGTTTTGCTAAAAACGAATACTTAATGTGTCTTTTTATAGATTTAAAAGGAGCCTATGATGTTGTAGATTTAAACATACTTTACACAAAAATGCTTAATATTGGTATAAACAAAAAGGTTTCAGTTAATATTTTAAACTTGTTTCAGAATCGAAAATTATATCTCAGAGATCATAATAACATATTACATGGTCCACGTTTAGTCTATAATGGTCTCGCACAAGGCTCTATTTTAAGTCCGTTACTTTTCAACATATACACAGCCGAATTGCATGGTTTAATTGATGACAATATTAATATTATCCAATACGCCGATGATATCTGCTTATATGTCTCCCATAAAACATATGAAGAATGCTACAGAGATTTGCGATATATACTATATTGCCTTAAAAGTTGGTTATTCGAATTAGGTTTTAGTATGTCACCAGAGAAATCTGCCATTATGTGCTTTTCAAGACACAGAAGGAGATTTCCAGATAATATTACTATTGGTGAATATACTATCCCTGTTGTCGAACATTACAAATATTTAGGTATTTTCTTAGACAAAAAACTATTATGGACCAAACATATACAATACTTAAGATCAAAATGTGAGAAAGGTATAAATCTTCTAAAGGTTGTATGCAAGCAAACATATGGAGCTGATCCTAACTTATACATTATGTTCTATAGGTCCTACATTCGTTCTCTTATCGATTATGGGTGCACATTATACGGATCCGCATCCAATACTAACTTGTTAGTATTGGATCGCATACAATACAAGGCCTTAAAAATATGCTTAGGTGCAATGAAGTCATCACCAAATCATGCAATTCTAGCTGAGTCACAAGAACCTCCGTTAGCATTTCGCAGACAATACTTGGCGAATAAAGCAGTAGTCAAATATAGATCATATAATACGTTCATAACAAATCAAATCTCAACTATTGCTATAGAAAACCTTACAAATAGATATTGGAAGAAAAAAAACGCGCCACCTCTAGCTGAAGCCTTTGTTGATACCAGTAATCTCGAAAATCATATAACTAAATACGAACAATACCCGATATTTCTTTATACATTTAAAACAATAATTGTTAAACCCGACATCATATTTCCTACATACTCCGAAATACCCTCTTTGAATAATGCCATCTTGAAAGGAATCTTAAATAGATTCATAGACTATGACGTAAATATATACACAGATGGATCCAAAAGTAAAATCGGAACTGGTTTCGGAATTTTTGTTTCAACCACAAATCATATTGAAAAATATCGTATTTCAGACATATCTTCAATATTTACGGCCGAAGCTTTAGCAGTACAAAAAGCACTAGAATGGGTTAAAAACAATTCAATTCAGAAAGCTATAATATTATCTGACTCTAAATCGGTACTACAAGCTCTACAAGGATGCCCATTGAAATATTATAACAATGAAATCATATTTAGAATTAAAGAACTAATTAAAGATGCCAAAATAAAAAACATAAAAATACAGTTCATTTGGGTTAAAGGCCACTCAGGTATTGTAGGAAATGAAATAGTAGATGAGGCTGCCAAACAAGCATGTAGTATTGAAAATATCACAAAATCTCCTACTAATAATAATGATATCTTGTGTAAACTAAAGAAGGACATTAGGGACAAATGGTCGGCTTTATATAATGAGTTTGTTAGTAGATCAAAAAACCATTACTTTTTAATACATCCTACCCTCCCAAAAGATATTCCAAACCTCTATTTCTCTACTTCTAGAACATATTCTACCATTATAACGCGACTTAAACTAAATCACGGACGTTTTCCTCATCATCTGAACAAAATAGGAATTTTAGAGAATCCCTACTGTCCTTGCGACAATTCAAGTATTGCAGACTTGAACCACCTATTCTTCCACTGTTCCAATAATAATAATGCTATAATACAATTAATATCTGAGCTAAAAAACTTTAATATATTCCCCCCACTTAATATTACCACTCTTCTTAATAGTTTTGACAAGAACATATATGACCTATTAGTTCAATTTATATATAAAACCAAAATAGTTATATAATATATTGTAATAATACCACAAACAATCTGTGGCAAATGGACTTCGAATCCGATGCCAGCCCCCACCCAACACACACACACAAAGTTTATTTCAACATATTTTTTTAGCAAAAATTGAAAAAAAATTAAATTCCTTATATCGACACCCCCATCGAACAAGGTTGTAACTCAATTTTAGTACTTTTCAGAAACGTTAGAAAACTAAAAAAAGTTTTCTTAAATATTTTTGGAGAAACTGTATAATATACTTCAATAGTTAACAAATAGGATAATTAGAACACTTATGAGATAATGAATGTTTAAATTTTATAAATAATTAAATAAGTTGAGTTTGATTGAGATACAACCTTGACAATTAACATGAGACTTCACAGAATAAGGCAATAAGTAAGATACAACTATGGTACAATAAGAAATACTTGTGTATATTTTTTATTGCTACATTAAAAAATATGCAAACAAAAATGCTGTAACTCATTTTACAATCTTTGACGTAAGTAAAGAGGTATATGGCATAACTTTTTTCAAACGAGTATCAACCAAGCTATAACAAATCGAGGTACGTTTTTTGTACTGATGGATTAACCTCATTTTGCTGAATACGCTTGTGGCTGAATTTAAGAAGGACGTATCGTGAGTTACAACTTTGTTCGATGGGGGGTGTCGATATAATATTAAAGATAAAGTAAGATGTCTAATTTTATAAATAAATGCAAAGCCTAAGTAAAATATGAACTTCTAATGCTCTGTATTTCCATCTCTTGCCTCAATGCAAACACTAATTTATCGGGACATGCTTTCTATAATATCAATCTCTTTCCTGAGGAAGGTCCCTCCACTCTCCAAGAATTGCTTAAATCAGATGTTCTTTGTTTGTCAGATTGTTTTGTCGAGTTTTAACCTTTTTTTACCATATCCCACAACTGCTCAATGGGATTAAGGTCGGGTGAATAAGCAGGCCAGTCTTATACTCTCACACCCTCCGTCTTAAAGTTATTTTTGGCGACTTTACTAATATGCGTTGGGGCTTTATTCTGCATAAATAAAAAAGCTCCAAAAGCACCTCTCCGAAGTCAGTAGAAGACCAAAGAGCAAGCTGGACCACTTGTACCAAAAGTCGTTACCATATAGCGCCACCAATTGAGATGCGAACGAAGACAACCGACAGCGACGCGTTGTCTGTCTGTTGTCTATCGCTTAGTCCTAAGCTTATTCTCAATACAAAACTTATGGCCCTTTTGGGACCCCCTTTCGTATCATTTGTGGCTGTTAAGTTATATGACAAGCTGTATGATGTTAATTAATCATTTCTAACATTTAAAATTTGATCGCTACATATTGGCCAGACCTGACGCTGACACCTTTCAATTACACCAACAATACCGTTTCGAGAATGCCTTTTTGGCTTTGTCGCTGCGTATTAGCTGTATCATTATTATTGTTGATTTCTATTTTTATATCTTTTATGTTGGGAGAGGGAACGAGCGGTGTTAATCAAACAACAATGAAGATATACGTTAATGCCCTTTTGGCTTTGCCATTGCACATTATTTTTCTTTTTAACGCGTACCTATACTCGATTGCCATTTTTGGATCGCTTAGTCATCTCGTGGCGACCTGTGGTGCAAGTGAGCCTTTTTCGCTTAGGTATTCTTCTAAAGTCGTATTATGAGACTTGTACGCAGTTAAAATATATTTCTTCTTGAATTTACGTTCTATTCTTTCTTGAAAATATAAAAGGTGTATTTAGCATTTATTTATATATTTTTCTTTTGTAACTTATTGCCCTGTAAATGGTATATTTATAGGGTTGGACAATAACTCTTTATTTACTTATTTTATTTATTACAATTATGATAAATTTGTTTTTAGCCTCTCGGGATTTTACCGAGATTCTTCAATACGCCGATCGTATAGCTTTCTTCTTGTCAAAGGATACTGACGAGATACTCTTACAATTATGCGACAGCATCAAAAAATTCGATATTCTTATAAAGGCGGGAGAATACTTATACGAAACCGATAGTAGCGCCAAAAATCTTTGTGTGATCACGATGCTATTTCTAAAATATTTGGGTATTCAAAATTGTCCTCAACTTCACACTACAGTATTCGAGAAAATCCACGATCAAACGTTGCCGACTTTTGATAATTTGAATGGCCTGGACGAAACCTCGGAAAATGATAAATTTTTGAAAGGTTTAAAGTTGGGTGATAAACTCATCAGAAAGGCTATGGCGAAGGACGGTACAGATCTTCAAATAGACAAGGTAAGGGGACCTATTTATATTAAGATAAAAAAATTGGGTTTATAATTTTTGTCATAATTTAAATGATTGGAATTATAAGAAGAGGCTGATTATTATTTATAATCAACAGATTTGATCAAACTTAAAATTAAATAAAAATACAAATCGTAAAATTTAAATAAAATAAAAAGAAAATACGAAAAATGTTACTTGGGCAATGTTTAGTCATGTATAATTTTGAAATTGTCTTCTAATAATTTTCGAATAAATTTCTAATATTTTTTCTATAACTTTATATTAAATTTCGAATAAATTTCCTAATGCATTTCTAATAACGTTCTAATAAATTTCTAATACATTTCTAATAAGTTTCGGATAAATTTCTAATAATTTCAAACAAATTTTAAATTATTACATTTTCAATTGTTTTTTATAGGTTTCTAGGTGGTTAGATATTTGTGTTTCTTTAATAAGACCGAATGGCACACTACATTTCTAACACATTTCTAATAAATTTCGAATGAATTTCAATAGAATTTCAAAGAGTCTGCTTTTTGTGCTCAAAGTAGTATTATAACAGCCTAGAGGCTTTCCTGCCGAATATAAAGATTTTATCGCAAAAAGAAGTTTTGTAAGTCTTGATAAATTAAAATATGTTATTTGGGCAAAGTTTAGTCATGTGTAATTTTGAAATTCCTTTCAAATAACTTTCGAGTTCATTTCTAATATTTTTTTAATAAATTTCTAATATATTTCTAATAAACTAATAAATTTCTAATACATTTCTAATAAATTTCTAATAAATTTCTAATAAATTTCTAATAAATTTCTAATAAATTTCTAATAAATTTCTAATAAATTTCTAATAAATTTCTAATAAATTTCTAATAAATTTCTAATAAATTTCTAATAAATTTCTAATAAATTTCTAATAAATTTCTAATAAATTTCTAATAAATTTCTAATAAATTTCTAATAAATTTCTAATAAATTTCTAATAAATTTCTAATAAATTTCTAATAAATTTCTAATAAATTTCTAATAAATTTCTAATAAATTTCTAATAAATTTCTAATAAATTTCTAATAAATTTCTAATAAATTTCTAATAAATTTCTAATAAATTTCTAATAAATTTCTAATAAATTTCTAATAAATTTCTAGTAAAGAACCCCGCACAAATTTCATGGAAATTGGCTCCCTGTCAAATTGGCTGAAATTTGGATATGTTGTTCGTTTCGTCATCCTGTGCAAAAGTCACAATGGGCACAAAGCTCAATTTTGCTTATTTTGCTCCTACGGAGCTCCAAATTGCCACGGATTGACCATTATTTACTACTTAAGAAGGCAATCTCCTCGAAAGTTTAGTATTTGCTGCGTTAAAAAAGAAGTACCTTCTTATGTTTTCGGGATCATTACATGCAAATCCAATGCCAATATAATAATATTGATAGTTGACAGCAGTCAACAAGCAATAACCAAAATTGAAAAATCAACATGTAAATTTCTATTTTTGAGGCAGCTGAGTTCAAAACTGATATTAATAACTCGATATTGACAATTGACAGCTGTCAACTAACTGTCAAACAGTATGTGACAATCAAAATTAACAAAATTCAAGAGTACATAGATGTCCTCGAGGTTTTTGAGTTCAAAATTGATGTCAAAAAGACGATATTGACAGTAATCAGCTGTCAACTAACTGTCAAACAGCATGTGACAATCAAAATTAATAAAATCCACATGTAAACGTATGTTTTTGAGATCGTTAAATTCAAAACTGAAGGTAAGAAAAACGATATTTTAAAAACAAGTGAAGCTTGCTTGCTGCCACCTCATTGTTCCTCTATCTTGACATATTATCATGCACAGTCAAATATTTAATTAACGATAGTACTCAACTGTCAATAACGTCTTTTTGGCATCAGATTACAATTAGGCAACCTTAAAGACATATGCTTACATCTCAATTGTATCAATTTCAATTGTTACATACTATTTGATAGTTAGTTGACAGCTGTCAACTGTCAATATCCAGTTGTTAACATTAGTTTTGAACTTACCAACCTAAAAACAGATATTTACATGTGGGTTTTATCAATTTTTGATCAATGCTTGTGCTTGACAGTTATTTGACAGCTTTAAAATGTGAATATCGATTTTTTACCATCAGTTCTGAACTTAGCAACCTCGAAGACATATATTTACATATGGACTTTATCAATTTTCATTGTCACATGCTGTTTGACCGTTAGTTGACAGTTTTTAACTGTCAATATCGTCTTTTTGACATCAGTTTTGTACTCAGTAACCTCGGAGACATCTATTTACTCCTGAATTTTGTCAATTTTGATTGTCACATACTGTTTGACAGTTAGTTGACAGCTGTCAACTGTCACTATGGAGTTGTTAACATCAATTTTGAACTTACCAACCTCAAAAACAAATATTTACATGTGGATTTTATCCATTTTGATTATTGCTTGTTGTTTGACAGCTAGTTGACAGCTGCCAACTGTCAATATTATTATATTGGCATTGGATTTGAATGCAGCGACCCCGAAAACATAAGAAGGTACTTCTTTTTTAACGCAGCAAATACTAAACTTTCGAGGAGATTGCCTTTTTAAGTAGTAAATAATGGTCAATCCATGGAGCTTTGGAGCTCCGTAGGAGCCAAAATAAGCAAAATTAAGCTTTGTGTCCATTGAGACTTTTGCTCAGGATGCCGAAACGAACAACATATCCAATTTGACCGGGCGCCAATTTCCATAACATTTGTGCGGTGTTATTTCTAATAAATTTCAAATAACTCTCATATTTTTTAGGTTTCTAAGTGGTTAGATGTTTGTTTCTATTTAACAAGATCGAATAGCACCCTTGATGACTATTTACATCCTAATGTCTACTATCCCAAACAAAATATGCCTAGTAGTACTGTGTTGCAAACAATACAATTCTGTTTTAAAGGTATTTTTGCACGCGTAGGTAAGTAAAAATTCATATTTTATATATAGGTAAATTATTATTTTTTTAATTTCTTGTTATATTTCTCTATTTATTTATTTTGTGTAATTCTTCGTTAATAATTAAGCATTTTAAGTTTACAATAATTTTTTTTTATGAAGTGACGAAATTTGTCTATTTTATGTTTCATTGTTTGAGCTGGCAATTATTTTTCCAAAGAGCTTGATGCTCGAAGCACTTTTTTCGAGTATTTGCCCCAGAACTGGGTAGTAATTGCCTCGAAAGTGCTTGAAACAATGCTTCAAGTATAATAGATATTCAAGCACAGTGCTTGCAATTACTTTTAAAATCCAGCGCATGGTAATTGATAATTGAAGCCCTTTATAAAAAGTGCTTGGTAATTTCGAATTTTAAGCCATTTAAAGTGCTTGCAAGCACTTTTTGAGTAATTGTTGCTTGTTAATTTAATTGTTCAATTATTTTTCTTGGTAATTGGAAGCACTTAGAATTTCCAAAGTGCTAGGTGCTTGATATATTTCCAAAGGGATTGGTGCTCAAAGCACTTTTCGAATGCTTTGCCCAAATAAAAAGATATTAATTCAAAATAAAAAAACATGTTACTTTCAATATGTTTTCAACTTTTACCGAAATAATATTTTTTGTTGGGCCACAGGTTGAACACTAGATAAAATTATTTAATTTTGTAGATGTCCAGAAAGATTCTGAATATTATTCTGTCTTCCCATCAAACATGGAATTAGAAGAGGTAAGTTTATTTATAAAAATTAAATCATTCAGGTTACTATTAACAATGTTAATAGTAACGATATCAATTTTATATGTATAGTGTGTCCATGGATGGACTCAAAATTTAAACATTTTTAATACAATTATTTGCACACCCTGTACAACTAATTCGAAATTTCACAACATGAATCGTATTTATTTAACAAGCAAAAGAAATGATGAAGAATTACTTTTTTTTAATATCAATTAAATATTTTATAACAATAGTGCAACTAAAAAATAGACTCTTAAGTTACAGTATTATGACTTAATTTCATGAAAACCAACCCTAGATAAGTCAGGTTAAAATACAAATACTTACTGGTCTTCTTATACTAATGATAAAAATACGTATTATTCAAAAAAATATTCGGGTCAGGAGATTTTCTGTTGTTTTTGATTAAATGTAATTGGAATTTATCAAATTGCGAATTATAATTCATTAAAATTTTAGACAAACCAGATGTTTTTTGATTGATGTGATTGACTAAAATTTGATTTTTTAAATGATTAGCCGATTTAATAAAATTCTACATGCATTTAATTAGTTGCTTGACTGACTGTTTGAAATTATTATTTGAGTTATATTGTATTTCAGGAATTTAATGAATTTTTGGTGCATCATATTTAGAAAAAGTCAATTTGATTTTATTGAAAATCAAATTCATAAATTCACTAAATTTTTATTGGAATTCATTGAATTTTTCTAGGAATTCATTAAACGTCTACCATAATTTATTAAACGTCTACCGTAATTCATTAAAGTACTACCATTAATATATAAATTAATTAATTAATTCAGTTTTTACTAAGATTACGGGGTTTTTCACTATAATTCGTAACATCTAATATTAGTTCAGTTTTTTTATTTAGCGTATTTCATTTATGAAACTCATTACTTAAATTAATTCAACACTTTCTCACTGGAATTCGTTACATGTTGTATTAATTACTTTTATACAGCCTATTTAAATTATTATAATTTCAATTATTTTTTGGAAAATATTAAATGTTAAATCAATTCTAGCGAAAACTGCTAATCTGAGTAAAGTTTTGGTGCAAATTATTACATTTTTGAGTTTATAGAGGAATTCACCATATGTTTACTGCAGTTTACTCAAATTAAGAAATTTTCACAAAAATTAGCTAAATTATATGAATTTTCAGAAGAACTCAATTAATTTTGATGGAATTCAATAAGTTTATACAAAAATTTATTTAATTTTTGCTTGAAGTCTATAATAAATAGTGTTATTGATTTTTTTGTGCTAATACATTTTAGATTTTTACAAGAATTCATCAAATTTTTACAGGAATTTATTAAATTTATACAGTAGCTCATTCAACTTTACTCAGATTAGCAAATTTTCATCAAAATCAAAAGTTTTTAGAAGAACTTTTATAGTAATTCGTTAAGTTTAAACATAAATTAATTATATTTCTACCGGAATTCATTAAACTTTACATATATTAAGAATTATCACTAAAATTCGTTACATCATATGAATTTTTAGAAGAATTTAATAAATTTTGATGGAATTCATTTGTATAAAAATTCATTAAATTTCCACCATAATTCTATAATAAAATAGTGGAGTTTTTACAAGAATTTTCTACCGGAATTCATCTAACTTTACTCAGATTAGGAAATTTTGACAAAAATACATTGCATTGCATGAATTTTTAGAAGAATGAAGTTTGATAGAATTTATTAAATTTATAGAGAAATTCACCGGTGCTATTAAATTTTTGGTGCAAATTATTACATTTACAAGAATTCTGCAAATTTTACGTGAATTAAATTTTTACTGGAGCTCATTCAACTTTACTCAGATTAGGAAATTTTCATCAACATCAATTTTTTTAGAAGAATTCCATAAATTTTGATGGAATTCATAAAATTTATATCGTAATTCATTAAACTTTACTCATATTAAGAGTTTTCACTAGAATTCGTTACAAGGTATGAGTTTTATAAGATTTCACTTGATTTTTACGAAAATTCAATAAGCTTTTACTTAAAGTATTTAATAAAATGATGTTATTGGATTTTTGGTGCAAATTATAAAATTTTTGGGTTTTAACAAACTTTAACCAAATGTTTACTAGATTTGATTAAATTTTTAACAGAGTTCGTTAAATTTCTACTGGAATTTATTAAAATTTGGACATATGAAATTTTTACTAATATTTATTAAGTATTGGTTTTTACAAGAATTAAATAAATAAATGTATGCTCGAATTTATTAACTTTCTCCAGAAATTCATTAAATTTTTGCCGAAATTCATTAAAAACTTTACTGAGATGAGGAGTGTTCACTATAATTCGTTGCATTGTGCAAGTTTTACAAGAATTTACTAAATATATAAGTCCATCCGTAGACACACTGTATACAGGGTGGGCCATCGGTAACTCCTCGGTCTGTAGCGCCAGAACTAAAGTCTATTCCAATCCGAGATTCAGTAAATGTACACAAAAGCACGCGAATGTAATTTTTGACCAGGGGCGCAATGAGGACAACATTTTATTGCAATGTAGTTTTAAATTAAGAATTTTAGAGATATACATTTTCAATACCTCAATACCAACGAAAATTGGAAGAAAATATATTAAAAATATACAAGGTGACACTTAGAGCGGTATTTATGAAGCCATCATACATATTTTTTCAATTTTAAACAAATATTTAAAAAAAGTTAGAACAGTCTGGAATAGCATTTTCAATCGTCGACGTAAAAAAAAAACAAATATTTATATTGAGTGAAGATTATTGTATTTACTGTTGCCATTCTAGTTCGTCAGAAGACGTGACACTCTCATTCACATTTATTACAAATTGTTTAATTTGTTGCTCTATAATATTGTCTAATTTCCACATTTTTTGCTCCACTTTTTTCTGCACGTGATCAATGCATTTCTTCCACTTTTCTGACGTGATATCGCATTATGAAAGATGTTTTTCATGTCAGCAAATTTAAATGTACTATTATGCTCCGCAACAAATTTTTTTATGTCAGCCCAAATTAACTTAATGGGATTAAGCTCGCAGTGATATGGTGGTAGCCATAAAACAATTTTATTTTGAGCTTTAGCCATTTCATCGATGATATATTTATCATATTTTTTTCTGTGCTCCTTAACTATTGCTAAAAGTTGCACTGTAATGTTTCATCAAATTGTATACTTTTAGAACGTAGCCAGTCTTGAATATCAGATTTCCTTGATGCAGTAGTTGGAATGTTTTCCAGTTTCCTAGAATGATACGGGGCATTGTCTAATACAACAATACAGTTATCATTCGGTTTTGGCAAAATATTTTCAAACCACTTTTCAAAAGACTTTCCGTCCATTTCCTCGTGGTAATCTCCGGTTTTTTTTTGGATTCGAAAGCCCACATCGCCTCTGGAACAAATCCGTCATCACTTCCAATGTGGCAAACTATTAGCCTTTTTCCTTTACCTAAAATCAAAATCATTTTTATACTGTAGTATATGCCCAGACAAATAAACCAGCTCAAGATGTCAACCATCTTAATAATGCCGTGCAGTGAAAAGTCTGAATATCAACTGTTTCAAATGTCCCGATACAATGTACTTTCATTTATTTTTAAAATATTATTCAATCAGCCGGATAGATAAATTATTGTAAAATATACTGTTATGAAATTATTAAGTCCGACTCTGTCTGAGCACGCAACCTTCACATAGCAACGCTGACGTGTGAAAACAATCGGACCGCGTCTCGAATGTACAAGAAACGACGGGATGCCTGCCGCTGAGGCACCAAACAGCTGGAATGGCGGAGAGTGCCGTTTACTCATAGGAATGGAATGTTCGAGAGCCTCTCGTATTTTTCAGCGGAGTTGGATTAATATAAATAGACGACGTATTAGCGCCGAGTTTAGTTTAATATAGAACATTGTATTGAAAATGTTCAAATTACATTTGAACACTCACGCAACATGCGACAACACAACAATTATCTCATACATAACACCACCTTTACACATAAAAATAAAGTCACACCTCTAACAATCTCACTAGCGAAGTGTAAGGGGTTTTCTCGCCTCAGAGAAAACGGTTCCTTACGAATGACGCTGGTTACGGACGGTTCTCGAGCGCCAGATTTTTGGTGATGGTTTACTCCACAAACTCTCGAAACAGCGTCGAAAGTACTCGGGCAGCACAGATGGAGATGAAAAATTCCAGGGGTCAAAGGTTACTTAGACTCAAATAATTAGTAGCCACAAGTAATGGGCTTTAATCATTACTTGTGGTTGCAAAGAATTTCTCACTGCTGAAAAATAAGGGGGAAGTAAATTGGTGATTAGTAAACTCAGTAATAGTCACGGTAATTTTGACACATATTGATTTAACTATATACACTAAAAAAAGAAAATAAGATATTTCAACGCCCTCCCTCGGTTATGAAACCCTGAACAAAAAAAATGAAGCAATGGCAAAACGGTAACAAACGACTGATATAGTTGGCAGGTATTCTCAATCAGACTGCTTAAACTGGATACGGTAAAGGGGTCGCGTATACAAAAAAAATTGTATTCGGAAATCTCAGACTAAGGTCAAAATTTAAATCTCGGATAATATGAATTCTAAATATACGGTAATTACTCTCAAATCGAAAAAAAAAATAATCTAATTGTAAATCATGGATAATACGGATTCAACAATTTAAATTTACGGTAATTGTTTAAATCGCAAAGCAAATCAAAATTTTAATCAAGGATATTAGTTTTAAAAATTCCAAAATTTACGGTAGTAAATCAAAATTTAAATCAAGGCTAGTATGAATAAAAAAAATAAACTTCGGCACTTCTGCAACTCGTGAGGACCACTCGAAATCTTTCTAAATGTTTGTTTCGTTTTTAAAACCCCTGAATACAACGAGTGAATCAAACCCACACTACCTCTTATTGTTATTTATTATTATAACCCCAAGTCGGACAAGGATATCTAGGAAGA